AAAGCTGTTTGATCTACATTGGCTAGCGTCGGGTGACACTGTACTTCTGTAAATGGGCAAAACATTTGTAAACATGGAATGCGGCCATAACATGTGCGAAAGATGTTATTCGTGCGTTCCCATTATTTATGTGTCCGCATGCGAGTGTGTGTGTGTTGTGGGGAGAGGTAGTGTAACGGTTAGCGCTACACTGCGCTACGAAGCCGGCGACCCGAGTTCAATTCCCGCTCACGGCCAACACCAGTGGCGATTATCTGAACCGGTCATGGGCCTCCCCGAGGTCGACTCAGCCTCAAATGAGTACCTGGTATGATGGGTGAACATCGCCATGTGCCGTTCAGGCTAAACGGTGGATATTTGTCTTTGTGTGTGTTGAAGCCGTGCATCTGTACACACAGGCATCTTCGACATATCAGAATCTAAACTTAAAGTGTGTTGTGCCGTGGTGGCACTGGTTGCCACATACATCCCAGCACCACACACGATGTACACTTCGTGCCTACACTTCAGATGAAGCTTCCTCACTGTTGCACGGGCGGTGAGCCTCAGGGGCACAGCTGCAATGTGGACTTTGTGGGGAGTGCTCCCACTCACGAATGGTTTCCGGTGGGTATTGGTCAGATTACAGATAGGATCCCATTACAGATAGAACCCATCACACACACACACACTTTGGGAATATATCGGCCCTATATTTATATTAAATCTACGTTGCTGCCTGGCTACTGACAAAGCACAAAGCCCACTGTTTGTGCGGGCTACTGTGTTGCTGAAAGAGAGGGAGGGAGGGAGGGGGGGTAACACAGACTCAGATGTCATGATTTTTGTCTAAAATGTTGTGTGGTGGGGGGGGGTATCTTAAACCACATCTAAAAAATGCTGGTGGATGGGTGTCCTGACACCCATGAGACCCACATCGTGGACTTTGTGGCTTTAGGTCACCGACAAATTCGTGCGGTGTTTCGGTTTTGTCACAACAACGCCTCGTGTTTGGTAAACTGTTTCGGCTGACCTGACAAACGGTTGTGAAAAGGAGCAATTGATGGCTGTTTGCATTGAATTAAAGGAGCAATACATCATACGCAGAGATCTCAAATGTCACACACTATTATTGCCGAACATTTGTCACGACGATTTACCGACTCCTGTTCATAAGTCCCGCGGCGGATTAATGTGGCTGGATAATGCTACGTGCCGAAAGCCTCGAGGTTATATTTTATCATGTTTGCAAACTTTGTTGCACAGTTTATTAATCAATGTCAATTTTGTAAATAGTGTGACGAAGAGCTGCTATTGCACACACACGTGTTCAATTATATTTTTAAAACATGAGTAGATAAGCAAACTCAGCATTGAAATCGGGGAGGGGAGAGGTGGTTGGTAGTTGATGGTTGAACTCAGCATTGAAATCGGGGAGGGGAGAGGTGGTTGAAACGAATCGAAAACCGAAACGAAGAACCGGTTTTGGAAGGTAAAAAAAAATTTCAGATCGAAAACCGAAAACTGAAAAAAAAGTTTTTTGTGTTCTGGAAACCGCTCCTACCCCTCCAAAAAATATATAAGGATGCGAGATTCCCTCCCCCCAACCCCCCACCACCCTCTTCACCAACCCGCACTGAGCAGCGCGTGGTGAAGTATGGTCAAATAACCCCTACGCCATGGGGCTGCCTTCGTCCAGCAGAGGTTTAACCAAGGGCTGTAAACATACTCTCTGGTTCTTTCGGTAAAGTCACGTAGATATAAAATAATAATAATAAAGAAAACACGACGTTTCTGTCGCAACACAAGCGTCCGTCTTTAGGTGAGAAAAAATGATCTTCCCTCCCGTGCCTAACTCCTACAGCCAAACTCCTCCCCCCCCCTCTCATTCCCTCCCCCCTCCCGTGCCTATATAAAGCCACAACAGCAGATCATTTTTTCTCACCTGAAGACAGACGCTTGTGTTTCGACCAAAACGTCGTGTTTTCTTTTATAATTAGTTTTTCTATCTACGTGACTTTACCGAAAGAACCACAGAGTATGGATTGCTGCAGTCACGAAGGCTTCACATCAATGCTGTAAACATGTAAAAAATAATAATGTATTTTTTAAAACACATGTGTCAACTGCTCATTATAAAGGACCATTGTCAGTCCACGAGGAATTGCTTGACTATACTTCACCGTGCTGGGTTAGTGCAAATCGGTGAAGGGGGGACGCCCGATACAAAAATCACTCACCGCTAATGTGATCCACAGCTGGGAATCTAACTCGGGTCGCCAGCTTCATAAGCACAGTGCGTTAACCACTGTGCCACTGCTCACACCACACTGCATGCATAACATGGACAGCACGATGGAGCTGTGCCTCTGGATGAGTTTCAGTTTCCACGTGACATCACTGCCACGAGCAAATAGATTCCAACCATGTGCAAGGGCTTCTGAGTTGAAACTCCAGAATATACGAGGTGTGGGTTTATATTTGTGGAATTTGAAATAAAGCTAGGGCTCTCATAACCATTAAACGTGTCAAGTTATAGGTGGAATGGCATTCCACATTTTGCCTGTAAAGAGACACGTTTTATTGGGCCAAAAGTATGCTAAATTTATACAGTAAGGTGTTTGAACCAGAAAACATGTCACGGACATGGCAGTGGTTGCAACTGGGGTTATTTGTTTAACTTTGAATGGATTTTAAATTGTTAAATTGTAATTGGGTATGTAACATAACAGTGGGAGCAGAAATAGCTCAAGGGAACAGTGTCACATTTCTGGGAACCTGTGATATAACTCTCAGGAATTCAGCTAAAATACCAACATAGTTGAACCAAGACACCCTGCCAGAACATCGGGGCTAAATCAATGTAGGAAACAATGTTATTGTTCGTAAAAAAGAAAAAATCTGCTGTGGCTTGGTTATTTTTAGTAATATACGACCCTATTTTTGTAAAAAAAAAAAACAATAGCTGAATGAACTATTCAAGCACAAAGATATCCGCAAAACATATTTTCTTTGGCACGTTAAATACATGCCGCATAAGACATTGTTCTTCTTGTTGTTGAGAGTCATAAAAACAAAATACCAAAACGCTGATTTTTTTTTAAAGTGTCTGACAAGGGATCCGAGTCCAGAGTTGATTTTCCAGTCTCATGCGTTAATGTGTTGCTAGTGCACTACTAATTGATAATTCATAATAAAGGTTTTTGGGTTAGATCGCGTTATTTATAAATGTGACAACATTGAATTTTTTTTTAGTACAATTGCCCGATGATGCTGGATGTAATTACCAGCAAAACGTCGTACTACTAAAAAACTGTAAATGTTGTGGATTCACTCTTCAACACACCGGTGGGCTAAAGTAGTAAACTATTTTGTCTTTTGTCAACGTGACACATTTTTTTACTGATTGGCCGTGTCGGGTGGTGGAGGGTTGCGACACGTTTATAAATAACGCGATCTCACCCAAAAACCGTTATTGTGAATAATATTGGTCACGAAAGCCTACGTGTTAATTGATCATTATTGGAACACACAGACAGCGGTGTGGCGATAAACATGACACTGCTGCGCTTGTGTTGGGCTCTACCAGGCCGGTTCTCATGGGAAGCTGCGTGGTGAAGAAGACTTTGATGATAAAAATGTCGCAAGCCAGTGTCTCACTGGTTCTCTGTGTGAGATTCAATGAGGATCCACGCAAATCTACGGACCTCTGCGCGAGTGTCTATGGGCTTCTCAACGAGTATCTGCATACATGTGTCATTACGTGGGCCTCTTTGTGAGTTCATTGATCTCTGGAAAAAGTGCTGACGATGAAGCTACTGCCAGAGTATTCCAGTTTGGCAATGCATCCACGTGGGACTCGTCACCCGAGACTGGAAAACACGAGATGGACTTTCATTAACGGTAAATAACAAGACTCTTAAGCGACGTGAAGTATTTGATATTGTGAAGGCTATGGATAATGCATTTGCCCGAACAGCAGGCATTTTCCCTGAAGTTCAACAACATACAATTATTAGAAGAACAAAACATGCCTTCCAATAGATTGGGTTAAGTTTAGCTTTTTTTATTTTAATTACAAAAATAAAATTTGCACTTTTGTTTTGTTAATAAGGAATTTTAGTAGAATAACATGTACATGTACAGTTAATTATTTAGTTTTATTGCAATGGGTCAGCACATTATTGATTACCTCTGTGAATGGTTGAGCCATCTCGCACACCGTGCTGGCGACCTGTGCCGTGATGCTGAATGATTTGGCCCGTCTCACCTGCTGATGGAACGATCCTATGCTTACATGTGGGCTTGCGCCATTTGGCTGTGTGGGCATTCCCTGCAGAATGTAGTTGAGAAAACTGGGTGGCGTTTGGTGTGTAAATGTTTGAGCCGCCACTTCACTTGCAGTCTGTGCCCTGCAGTTTTTGAAACAAAGAGACGCAGGTGGGCTGGCAGGTGGGCTGGTTATCCTTACGAAAGAGCTGTTTGGCTCAATGAGCCTCTACAGCTAAAATAAGGTCCGAGTCTGAACCTGGAGCCGTGACTTCCCACTTACTTTATTGCCAAGCGTGGCACGCGCACTTCCTGGAACAAACGCCAAAATCCAGTGCCACTGCGGGTGGCACCATCGTTTTTGACAATTGGGGGGCAAATTGTGACGAGAGGGGAAAGAGGCGTGAGGGTCGTGGCGGGGCAATTCAGGGGTCAGAGCTGAAGCAACGCTGCAAGACGTTGGGCAGGTGAAACAATTCGGTGTGTTGCATGTGGGGGGTGGTGGGGGGGGGGGCACACAGTGGCTCATGCGATAAAGCACGAGGCGGCTTCGTTCAGTGAGCAATGCACACAGATCATCAGCTCTGCTCCGTGCTCTTCGTGACGTTAATCACCTACAATAGTGAAACCCAACATCCATTGCCTTTTAATTCCCAGTCCACAAGGATTTTTTTCGTGGGGGGTGGGGGGGGACTGAAATAGAATGGTAGCCTCCCTATGAGCACTGCTCATTATCAAAGTTAAAATCAAACCTTGAAACGCAGAACCGGCGGAGGAGGCATCGATGTAAGGGACGGACTCTTCGGAGAGACGGGGTGATCCGATGGGACCTGGGGGCCCGGGTGGCCCAGGCAGACCCGTCACCCCCCTCTCCCCTGGCAAGCCCACTGCCCCAATGCCCCCCATTGCACCAGGCTGCCCAGGGGGACCAGGAGGACCTGAAAATAAGAGGGGCATCAGTTAATATTTGGGGCAGTACTTTGTGTTGCAAGTAGAGGTTGAGAACTCTGTGAATGGGTAAGTCAATATTACAAAAGAAAACAGGTAGAAACATATTCGGCAGTCAACCCTCCTTGTCATGGAAGACGTAGGTGAATCATAATGAAGTGTGCCCAATCAAGTGCATAAACAAAATAGCGCGAAAAAAAACAACTTTGCCAGCAAGGCATATTAAAGCCCCACACAAACATACATACAGACGTGAATGTAATGACCATTAACAGTGTCCACATAATCATCTTTAAACGTGGATAGGTTATAATAAATACAGAACATTTGAAAGAACTTTAATGACTTTTTTAAATGTCAACATTATTGACTCTTTTCGTTTTGCATGAGTAATTATTACCTTTATTGAGAGCCTGGTCACTGCGTTAAAATCAAGCTGAGTGAAGGAGAATACAGTTACTGCTAAGGTGTGGACATTGTATATGGCATGCAACAAAGATACCATTACACATTTGCATAACAACATCAATTGTCAGATTTCATTATGCCCCATGTGTCAGAGAATGGCCAATGGAAGACATTTCACACCCCCCCCCCACTAAAAAAAACCCTTCAAGTGGCCTTTGTACACTTTACAATGCACTCTGCAATTAAATTGTCAAATGACAAGTCAAGCCGATACTTTCAAAGTCTCACAAGTGGAATTCGGCCAACTCAAAGTGAAAACCCAAATTTAATATTGCATTTTTTTTCTTCACATGCAGGCATTGTGACAGGGACTGAGTCACTTGAGACACGTGGCTTGATCACAGGCGGCCAAAGATTCCAAGAACACAGGATGAGATGTTACTATCCTTTGTGTAAGCACTTCCAAGAGTTCATGAACAGTGAGCCTGGTGAAATTTGAGGAGCGCATCGTCAGTAGTGTACCTTTGGTTCCTAGGGTGTTTCGGCCTTTCACACTATACACCCTCCCCAAAGGCGGCCAGCGACAGGGTGATCAATCCTACGCTTGCGTCCCATTCCCAATTAGTCATATGAGTTGCCTTGTTGTTGATAGCCAACATCCCATGGGACTATGCATGGCAGGGGCGTCCTCCTCCCCGAGTCAAGCATTGTTGACCGCATACCTCCTGGCCCTCTCACTTCGGGGCCCAGCTGGGGTCTTTCCTCTTCATCCAGAGCCACTGACTGCTGCCTTCTGCCGCCTCCAATACAGCTCTGATTTCCGAACGCTGGCTCTGGCCCTCAATTCCCAGGTCTCTAAGCAGTCTGGTTGTAGATGTTGCCACAAAACCTCTGCAGCCCACCTCCACTGGTCGGACTGTGGCCAAAGCCCAGATTCGAACCCAGAGACCTTCGGCGGCGCTGGCTTTCTCAGCGCCTCAAACTCTCAGACACACGACCGACCACCTTAGTGAAAATAAATAAGTGACAAAAAAAACACCCAAAGATATATTTATGCTCCTTACATAGGGGGGGGGGGCAGGAGGGAGGGGGGTGCGTGAAGTGAAATCTGAGATACGATAACATAAACATCGTCTGCTGTTTGATCGCGTCTGCTCGGAATTAACTTCTGATTTGGAAATATTCACGACCACGGGACGAGTCCCTCTGAGAAGCCTCCCTTGTGCTGCCTCAGCAACACAAGAGGGCCAAAATAATAATCTGCACAAGCCAGTCTTGTCAGCGAGCTTTGATGCGTGTAGTTAAGTGTCATTTGAAAGTAACACACAGACATACTGCATGGCAGTACTTCTGGACTACAGTATGAATGTGTAATGTTTACATTTCTGAGATGACACTTAATTCGTGCATTGTTTTATGCTGACCAACGTACACGAGCTTTCATTCACGATAACATTTATTGAGTGCTGCCGAACTAAAATATGTCACTTTGAAATAAGGTGGATGGGACATTGGAACTTTTTCTCATTTTTTTTTTATAAAACATGAGGCAAACACGAAAGTCATCAAGCAAGCTGCCAAGTTTTGTTATAAAGGCTTAAATTGTTTGGTGTCATCTGGTCCAACACCATGTGAGACTAGGCTCTAAGAAAAGCTGTCTCGGGTGTGGACCAATCAATTTCAAGGACAGTGCATACATTATCAGAGTTGTGTTTTTCGTTTGCATTCCGACCGCAGGTATTGTGGTCAATGCAAACATGACTCCTTGTAAAAAAAGGTGTCAGTTTTGTTGCCAGGTAAAAGGGTAAAAAAACCAATTGTCATATTTTGCTACTGGCAAAGGAGGTTCCAATGGTGTTTGGTCGCTTTTTTGTTGTTATTAACAACCTCCAGTTGACAAAACGCACAGGCGGAAGAGCTTTCAGATTATATACTGTAAATGGGTTCATGTGCAGACACATCTTATATAAATATATAACGCGTGCGACGTTTCCTACTGTTAAAGGTTTAAGCTCTGCGGAAAGAGGTGATGCACTTTCAGACTGCCTACTCAACAAGCCAGTCGGTGTGTGGTTTTGTGGCGAACGGAAGTGTAGCGGTTAGCAGGCTGCGTTACGACGATTATCTGGGCCTCCCCTAGGTTGACTCAGCCTCTAATGAGTACCTGGTGCGGTGTGTAAACATCGCTACTAAGGAGACAAAGGCGCCCGGACGTGGTGTTGGCCTTGCTGCCCTCTTACGTGCTCACTAACAGCACTTGCCCCAGCAATCTTTAAAGGCTATATGGGGATCTTAGTCTTTTTTTGTGGTTTTGTGGATGTGTCACGATTTTTGTTGTTGTGAACATTCTACATGCTACAGTGTCGCTGATATTTGTGTTAAACAATACACATTTTAAGATAATTCTATGGTGCGTATCTTACATCATTTTACAAAAATATATAATATTGATGTAATTTTCTCCAAAGTATTCGCATGCAGTTTCAATTGCATTTTCTACGAATAATTATGGATTCTGGAGGTCAAATACCACGGATTGTGTTATAAAAACATTTCAAACATTTTCTCAGCTTGCACCACGTTTCAAACTCTTGAGAGTTCATGATAATTCTGCTCTTCAAAACCTTAGCATTAAATAAACATCGTGCTGCTCTTTGCACAAATCTAAGCTGCATTTTTTTGTATCTTAGTTTAAAGTATGAGACCAAAATGTAACAAATGTACTACCGTCTGTGTCCAGGGAGGGCTAGTGTTTCACCGTAGACTTTTCCCAACATCTGTCTCTCAGCATTTAAAATCTAAACCACATGGCGCACCAGTGACCTACAGCACAAATGAGATTTTGTATTCTATTTGATGGCCCAGCCTGATTTTGTGCAACTATACTTTGAATCAAAGTCTGCTGAAGCCTAATTGTTTTAGGGTAAACGTTGTCTTCATTTTAATAGCAAGCTTTCCTCAACTTCAATTTTAGGAGAAAAAAAATACTTTAATTCAATGGCAACTTACATGAAACCCGTTAGTTTTGGCTTAAATTGGTTGGCTGCTCATCCATCCCAGTGCCATGTGGGTATTACAATATGGAAGGTTTATATGACAACACGAGGTCAATTCTAGGCCCAGGCTTGAGCCTTTGGCAGGCCCAAAAACATACAGTACATTAAACCGAACTGCCGAAAACAAAATGCCTATCTTTGGTTATTCCACAATTTGGAATAGGGTTTGTGAACGATATTATACTTGGCTTTATATGTGGGTGGTCCCACGGCCTAGCACAGGGGTGCCCTCTGCCTCCGCGGGGTTTTTATTGTTACCACGTTGTTCACGTGCTCACAGTGCCAATGTGGGGACTTAGAAAATATGGCATTGAAGCACACTGTACTCTTTTCATACGGCCCTTTGTCATACTGTGCCAGTCATTGGGGTTATTATGACCATACTTTACCACGCTGGTCAGTGGAGGGGAAAGTAAATGTGGGAGAACCGAAAGTAAGACGGTGGGATTTTCTGTGCCGCCCTCTGTTGTCATGTTCACCTTCTGAAGTGCTCGCTCGTCATCGTGGCGTGCGCGATGACACCACACCCACGTTACTTTTCTTTTGTATTGTGCGCGGTGCTTTCAGCACCACAGCGCGTGGATTTGTAACGATTTGTAACGTTTGTTTTCTTTTGTTTGCTGGTGACTTTGTGTATTTCATATTGAAATCGCCTCCAGTGCTTTTGCTGCTGGCCACCAGACCTCTGCCCCCACCACCCTCCACCTATCCTCATCCATGCCCATTTCACAACTTCATGCATGTCCCCCATGCCCCGCTGCCTCTCATCCACGTTGCACCCATCAGACACCCTCACTCACCATCACATTCCACCTTATTCTGCATTACCTACCCCAGCAACATCAACTCCATTCCGAGCCCCTGTCCCTCCATTCATTCCATAACCTTCCTCACTGAACACCATCGGATTGCATCTTAAAGCACCGTGGAACGGACGCTATATAAATGCGAAATAGAACAGAATGCCCCCCAACTCGTCCGAATGTCAGGGCCTTAGCTGAATATGGTGCTCAAATGTGTCATATCCCCCAATGGAGATTGACACAAAACTCTCGACATATGCCCACACGTGAATTCCTCGTGATGCTCTACACTGCTTTCTATAGCTTTGAAGAAAATGGCCATCACACTGATACGTATATTGGACATTAGGTTACATATTTAATTGTGAAAGCAAGTAGGCACTGGTCGCTGCTACATCACTCATCAACTGTTTTATCCCTCGGGAGGGATTTAGCAAAACCTCTCTAATCTTTTAAAATCTAAAGATATTTCATACTCTACCACCCTTCTCCTTCATACCATTTGTCCCTTACTCCTAAAATTCGAATGCGTTCTTCCGTCAAAGGCAGACAATGGAATGTACAGCTTTACGTTGTCCGCGTAATTTGAAAAAACTGAACTCAGTTTGATTTACTTTTCCTGTGGTGGCTGTAAAGGCCCATCCTGGAAAGACAGAGTCTGCCACGGTTGCCCTGAAAATGCGTGTGCAATAATGCCAATTACTTATTGCACTGGCGATAAAAATGCCAATTATTTACCCAGTAAAGCAGCACTGAGTTTGAGACTAATTGTTAATGAGCCTCATGCAATTGGGCTGATTGGCCAATTCCACTCGTGATTGTTGTGAATGTGTTATCCCTGTAACATATAATGGGGATATAACACTCAACACGGCCATCTAATAGTCACCTCTTATCCCAATGCCTGCAAAATCAGGTAGATCCTGGTGGTCGCCAATCTGCCACAGTTGCCCTGAGCTTACCGAGCTCAACCCTGTTTAGCTGTTTAGCTTCTGAGAACTGATGACATTCAGGGCACATTTAGGATGATTTGGTCATACGTGTCAGTGTTGTGCTATTTTGTCAATCTCCGAAATCAGTATGACACGACTCATAGTGTTGTATTCTTAGGTTTTTTCGGTAAAGTCACGTAGGTAAAACATTAAAATTAATTAAAGTAAAATAAAATAAAAATCACGACGTTTCGGAGGCAACACAAGCCTCCGAAACGTCGTGATTTTTATTTTATTTTACTTTCATTAATTTTAATGTTTTACCTACGTGACTTTACCAAAAATACCTAAGAATATGAATCCTTGCAGTCACGAAAGCTTCAAATCTAGAATCATAGTGTTGTACTGATTCAGGAAAGTGTAAAGTACCCCTCAGTTTCAACGAAGAACCTTAAGGAATTTACAGATTCCCACGGGTTCAAAGATAACTGGTTTAATGCAGAAGGAGCATGTCTTATTTAATAAACGAATGCACACTGTTTGCGTAATCGCAACCACAGTTATGGAAAGTATTTCGTAATTAAATAGCGTAAAAAATATTTTGCCTAACCTGTTTGGTTATAATGAATTTTCTGTTCTGACATTAATCTCATCTCTGTAATGAGTGAATGAATGTACAGCACTGTAAATGTGTACTGTCGCCTGTATATGATACAGCAATTCATATCATCGCACATTCTAAACGTACTTTCTACGAAAACATCTCCTCTTGTTGATGCCACCATCTCCAGCACAGAAATCGCATTTTACAAAATGCCGTATCTTTCGTAAGAACTAATAACTGACTAAATCTCATAGGTATCTACACATTTCTAATTAATATTTTTTAGTTACCAGGTCAATTGTGCTTGAAAAGTAAGAGAAGCACATCCACGAGACCTATCCCAGTGGCATAGGTGCACGAAATATAAGGTACATAACCTACAGCGCGGGGGTGGTGGAGCGGTGCTGTACTGGCTAGCGCATTACGTCTTCTTGTTCTTTCGGTAAAGTCACGTAGAAGGGAAGTAATAAAATAATAAAAATAAAACATAATAAAAATAATTCTCGGAGGGATTGATTTTTATTATTTTATTACTTCCCTTCTACGTGACTTTACCGAAAGAACCAAGAAGATGAATCCCTGCAGTCACGAAAGCTTTAAATCGAAATTTAGCGCATTACGAATTTGGCGTGCCGATTTCGGTTCATGGTCAAGGCGAACATCAGCGGCGAGTGAAATTTGAACCACCGGTCCTGGGCCTCCACCGTCAGGTGACCCATACTGCCCACCATGGTGATGTACGGTCACACATCCTCCGTGCCTTGGGAAGTCGATCTACACCTAGCAGGGGATTGACAACGGGCTTCGATTACACTGGTCAAAAAAAAAAACATTTTTTTCTGGCCTGGACTTTTGCAGCGGTTTTAGACTAATTTCAGGGTGCTGATTCCAAATCTGATCTCAGATTTGCTCTATCACATCTCATTTTTATGCTATCGGCATACCCCATTTTCATTGATTTTATCCAAAATTAACTCTGTCACTTATGATTGCAAATTGTTGCGAGTCAGTGACTGCTTTAGTGTTAAAATATGGTGCTGTATTTTTAGGATAGTGTGTTTATAATATCATTTTATGTAGATATCCACATTTATTGAATATTTTTCTTCTGCAGTTTTTATTGAAAATGCAATATTTGATATCTCAAAAACCTGATGTGATAGACAAAAACTGATGCCAGATTTGGAATCAGAACCCCAAAATTACCTTAGAACCGTTGGAATACCTTATGCCAAAAAGAGTGTGTTGACCAGTGTTATTTATTCTTACAGTTTCGATTTAAAGCTTTCGTGACTGCAGGGATTCATCTTCTTGGTTCTTTCGGTAAAGTCACGTAGAAGGGAAGTAATAAAATAATAAAAATAAAACATAACAAAATAATTTTATTGTGTTTTATTTTTATTATTAATATAATTTTATTGTGTTTTATTTTTATTATTTTAATACTTCCCTTCTACGTGACTTTACCGAAAGAACCAAGAAGATATTCTTACAGTGTGCGGGGTAGTGGCATTATTCTTGTCGGTGCTCAACAACCATCTGTGAAAGCGCGTAAACACAGCAAATGGTACATCCTTGAAATGCTGCTGGGAGCACCAACCTGGCAGCCCAACGGGACCCGGGGGGCCATCAATCCCTCCGATTCCTGGGAGGCCGGGGCGACCAGGCGGACCAGGAAAGCCGGGTATGCCTGGGTTTCCTTCAGAAGCACGCACGCAACAACGCCAGGGCACGCACGCAGCCATCCGCAACCACAAACACACCGGCGTGAGACATTGAACCACGGGCAAACACAAGGATTCACCGTTCGGCCTTGAAGACGACATTATCCACTTCTCTTTATAATTCACCACACATTCCGGAATGCTGCCCTGGAGTAATTGGTCGGCACACTGGAATTGCAACGCAGAGGGCGCCGGTTCCATCTCACGGCGCGGCAGTTGTATCAATGGGGGTATTTTAACCTCGGCTTCTCTTCTAGATAGACTGAGGAAACGAACCATAAAGTTAAATAAATAAAAATTATTCTGCTAACAGCTCTCTTTTGCAAACCCCTCAACAAGAATGAATGCCCAAATTTCCATCTGACCACTCTTAATTATTTCCAAAGCGGTGCATGACCACTTCCCAAAATGTAAATGGGGCACGTGGTGGTGAGATGTTGACTATCTCGCCTGGTATACAGGAGGTCGCGGGTTCGAACCCGACCCTGACGCCTGCTGTATATTTGGAGTTTGCGGTGTCTCCCTCCCCGTGGTGGCGTGGATTTTTCCCCGGGTCCTCCGGTTTCTCCGTCCATATTTAGAATCAACATGCGTTGTGAGAGTATTTGGCTGCTATACATTTCCACATGATAAGCCACTTCGTTGAGCTATCATTTGTGGCCAGATCGCTTCTGCAAAATAGCTAGAAAGCTCAGTGGACCTTGCCTGGTAAAATAAAAAAAAGTTTAGTTTTAGTCACGTCTGTTTGCATTTAATTTACTGACATGTGCGTCCACTAGGGGTGCAAGATGCACACGAAAGGCACAGCATGGCCCAGTGCTGCAATGCCACCAGCCCAGACAAGACAGGTCGGGCCGCTAAGGCGTCGTTCATTCAGTGCTTGCGGTTCGATTCCGTGATTCATTTTACTTTTGTTTACATCGTGATAAACGCAGTGCCGACAAACATGAATGGAAAATCATACACATCATCATCATCAGTTCGTGCGTGTAATCGTGAGCCAGGGAATCAATTTCAATTAGAATAAATGCGTCATCACTTCCCCCACAATGCAAAGTATACGACGCGAGCCCAGTTGTGAGCTGCGCTATGACTACTGCGTCTATCCATTACCTGCCGTGCCAGATGGAGTTAATTCCTGTTCATACTCTTAGTTCTTTCGGTAAAGTCACGTAGGTAAAAAATGAAATAAAAAGTAATACAAAATAAAATAATAATATAATAATAAATAAATAACATTGCAATAATGAATAAAAATTTTTTATTTCATTTTTACCTACGTGACTTTACCGAAAGAACTAAGAGTATGAATCCTTGCAGTCACGAAAGCTTCAAATCTAGAATTAATTCCTGTTGATCGTTTATTCAGACCTAGCCGTCATCATCATGATGCCATCATCAGATAGTCCATCCACTTCCAGATGACGGCTCGCACGCAACATGACAGTCACAGGGGTTGTTTTGACCATCATTGAACACGCTGGCCACTGCGGTTTGATCAAGGTGGTGGGCACAAGCTGTCTCGCCACTCGCGTAACGAGCTACTTACTCGAAGCCCCTCACAGCTTCTCCTTCGCCACGTCAAGGCAGTGACACATCCAGCAAGTGTAATACTGTAAATAGAACCATGAAGTGTGCAGTGCTGTCTTCGTAATCTAGACACATACCGTATCTCTGCTTTCAGTTACACGTCAATAATCCTGGCATGTAACTGCATGGCTAGAATTGCCCACACTTGCACTTTTCTTTCGAGAGCACAAGCATCAAAATGTAAAGTAAAACATTATTCATATTGTGTTGTTTGTATGCAAGTCTGATCATCAACATGCATTCGTTAATTTGCACAACAAAGGAGCTGAACCTAAGCTTTGAAATAGATTCCTTTCTTTATGACAATTACTCTTTATCTTACTTTAATGCTATTGCTGTTTTGTGTGAATGTTGATCCTGCCACGACCGTGCATGGCCATTTCCCAAAATGTGCTACCTGTGATATGCGCTGTTTTTTTCAGGTAAATAATAAATTGTGTTTATAACAATGATGTCTGGAGAAATAACTACTTGGACTGATCTAAAGCGATAATGAAGCAGTTCATGGGAATGTCACTGCTCATTGTTTCCTAAACTAAATGAATCAAGAATAGGGGGGGGGGGTATATTCATTACTCAAACTACCATGCAATGCAAGTGAATTGTAATTTCTACAGTGGATACAGCTTGTGTGTACTTTACATGAAAAGCTTGCTTATTTCCTGAACCATCGTGATTTTGTTATTATTTAAATACGTTTTTATTTTAAATTATATTACAGATAAAGGTGCGGTCCTGCAATGTCCCCTCTCACACCGCTGCTAGAGGAAGAACTTCCTCCAAGAGGTGGAGGCTCTTACAGACAGCTGCTCTCAAACACGGGGGCTATTTTGGCCTCCTCTTTCATGCTGTCCAGACGTCTTGGAGGAGCTGTGACTACTCCCATCTTAAAACATATCGTCTTAAGTCATACTCCTTGGTTATTTCGATAAAGTCACGCCTGATGACGACCGCTTGTGTTGCGATCGAAACGTCGTGATTTGTTTGATTTAGTTTTATTTCTAACCACGTGTCTTTACCGCAATAACCAAAGAGTATGGATTCCTGCAGTCACGAAAGCTTCAAATCGTCTTAAGTCAGTTTATTCTGTTTAGCTTCTCCTATCATGGCCTTATTCTTACAAGGCGCCTTGAGACATTGGTAGAAGGCGCCTTACAAATAAATGTAAATTATTATTGTTATAACCCACACGTCACCCCACCACGCACGCCTTGCCGATGAGAACGGTGGCGTAAGAAACGTCGCCCATTGTTTCCGCTGGCGCGAGAGGGACCAAGAATTGGCGACCTCGATTGCAAGCGCAGTAAGTTTGTGCTGGACAAAGTTCCAGCTCATATCGAGCCCACGATAGCGTTACAAAGTGACTTAAGAATTGACCACCCAAGCGCCGGAAATTCTATTCCGTATGAACTTTGTTTTACTGGTTCACGTTACCCATCCAATTTGTAAACTGTTTACGTTTAAATCTGTTGTGCAGATAACAGTGAAGATTGATTGCTAAATCGAGTAAATACAATGACGACGCCGCGAGAGAGATTGGCCGTGGCATCGCAGGGCATTGGCACGGCGGAGGGGAGCGTCATCCAGCAGTGGATAGATTACAGCTGATTAATCATTTTCGTCAGTTAAGAAAAATTAGACGTTGAAAAAACACTGCAATTAGCCAGGGGAAAAAAAAGTGCGCGTGTAATTTCATACTACGGGACATGATGTCTACGATGTTAGCAGTCATTGTAAATTTGCATCGCATTGTATGAAATAGACGTGCGCTTACATTTGTTTATGTTATTTTTATTTTATTCTGTTTTATTTTTATTATTTTATTATTTCATTTCTACGTAACTTTACCGAAAGAACCAAGAAAATAGACGTGCGCTTCTTCAATTGCAAAATCGCTGCCGCGTCCCTCCGTTGCCACGGGGAAAGGGATGCACTCGCGTTTCGACCGGATTCAGACAACTGCTTGCGGCTCCGTTCACGCCTCGAGGCGAACTGGACGATCAGGAATGACAAGGGGAGGCGGCTAATTGAGCAGCTATTATGTACAGGGGGAACACTCGCGATAATGATGCACAGGGCTTTAAAATGAAACGATATTAGTTGGCGATGCTCCTGCACCAAATAATAATTCCTGCAGTCACGAAAGTTCTAAAATTAAGATTGATGCTCCTGCTGCTACTGCTGCTGAATTGGCAGTGGTGCACAATTAACACCGTGGCTTTAAAAAATAAAATAACAACATCGGCGACGGGAAAATAAATATGCGACGTTGATATCGACGAAGGTGTGATTGTTCGGTACCGTACACCGCATTTAATGCCCAGGTTTTGACGGTCGGCAAAATGTTATGATTTGAATGTTTCTCCCACAGTACGACTGATCAATAAGCAGCAGGTTTTAAAGTTGCCTTCCTATTAAAGTGGTTCAGGGGAGACCTTTTAAGGTTTGGTGTAAAAAAAAAATCTGCGGCCTGGAATATGAAAATGTTCCAACACACACGGTGAGTGATTTGTAAAACATGTGTACATTGAATTTGTCTTTTTAAAGTTGTGCTAGAAAGGTGGACTGCGCACTGTGCGTAATGTGCAGCCATGAAAATGTTAATCACGTGTTGGTGATAATTAAATATGTAGATATAAAACAATTCTAACATCTGCATAAAAATCTTCACCATGACGGTCGCATTTTAGCCCATATATGCAGTCGAACGTAATAAAGCGGAACCGCGTTGACATTCGAGGGCAACCTGAAATTAAAAAAAATAACAATCATTTGTATATTTTCACCTGTAAGAACTTTGTTAATGAGCTGCTCGTACACACAGAAAATGGAATGTAAAAAAATATATTCGATTTTGTAATGCTTGCATTGTAGTAACTGATGATTAATAAATGAAATTGCGTTTTCAACTACTCAATGATTTCCTGCTCAAATGAACATTGAGGCAGTGCTCGATCAACTATTTACATCCCCTCATGCCTACGGCAGTGAGGACTTTAGCCATAGACCAACTACCGTTGACTTCCCTACAAAGTGGTACTAATTTTATGGACCCCTGGACGAATAATGGGCTGAATCAACGCCCAACCACGAGTCCAACTCAAAACCTTAAGATTGCGAGCCACTCCATCGCTGAGCCACCGTAACATGATATGTTCATAATATGTGCGCCAGACATACGAGGGCGTTTCAATAAATGAATGTGCTCGTTGAAAAATAACTCGTCACTCCGTGACACAATTAGAACCAAAGTGCTAAGCCAAGCTGATGCTTCAACTCCAGCCAATGTGGCTCGTGTTGAGAGGCTGACTTTCGATGACAGGCGAGTGGGAATTAAGCGCATATCAGTGGTCACAGGGATAAGTGTGGGAACGGCTCATTCAATAATCCACGTCAAGTTGAATTTTCAAAAATATGTGGCCCGCTGGCTGCCAAATGTGTTAACAGAAGACTGCTAAGCTCGACTCTCTCCTTCTGATGGGTATTTTGTTATGTTCTCGCAATCTCAGTGGAGCTGTTCCACTGGCTGTGAACGGTTCCCATCGTTTATAAATATTTAGGCCTCGGTTTGTGAGAGTTCGGATGACTGCATCGAGCTCCACTTAAGTCAAGTGCCTTTTCATAGTTTTTTTTTATAATCTTAATGGTAGCATGCACGTGATCACTGGTAGAGAAACCTTTCCTAAACCCAGCTTGCTCAGGTGGTTGGTTGCAATCTAAATATTCCTTTACTTTTGTTTTTCCAATGATCACTGTGAACATTTTATGTAAGTGCAATAAGAGGCCAAATGGGTCTGTCATTCTTCAAGCCCGTTTCGTCTGCCCTCTTCAACAGCAGACTGATTGAGTCAGCGTTCAATTGACAGGAGGTGTTTTGTTTCTGAGAATATGTTTAATAAATGGGTCAACTCATTATGATCCCACAATTGCTTCTCCTTCTTTGACGATGCGCACATTTATGCCACAGGTCCAGAACGTTTTCCCCTTTTTACGTACTGCGAGATCAAAATGTTGACAATAGCTAAGCTAATAAGACGTAGATGAGAGCCTTGCGACTCATCTGTGAAAATGTTGCGGCTAGTGGGAAGCCGTTGCGCAGACGATAGAAGTTTTCTGCAAACTCTACAGCTTGGGCAGATACTAATTATAGGTGTCACGGGGGAATAGGGCCATGGATAGGAAGAGTTCTCCCATACTACTTAGGACTACAGCCCTTTCAGAGCATTACCACACCCCTGCCTTGAGTCATTCTTGTCAATAATTGTAAATGCCAAAAAAATTGCAATCTTACCCTGATTCCCAGGTGTTCCATCTTTGCCTCTGTCTCCTGGTGGGCCTGTCAAAAGAGAACGGCGAGACGCATTACTTTGGAATCCCCACCACGTGCACAATGGTGCAAAAAGCGCGCAACTGAACACGTCGTACATCGCATGGTTGGTGAGCGTCACAGATATATGGGTAGGAAGCATGCCAATACTTTAGTTTTAGGCAGGACATGACATCAAATACGGGTGGCGATTGAAACCACGCATTTAGCTTCGAGACACTTGAACGTTCTCAAGGCAAATACGCGGCACGCGAACGGGCGTGAATGAAACTGTCAAGCGAGCAGAATGTAAAAGTGCGCACGCCACGGAAGAAAGCCTTCCCCGTTTGCCAAGAAACAAGCTTAAAGCGCCCCCGCCTCCCCCTCAACCATTCTCGACGACGCTTTCGTTCCTTTGATGTGGCCGCTCGTTGGTTTTTGGTTGCCCTAACTGGCGAGGGACGTTCCTCTCCTCAAGTGTACCCTGTCCTCTTGTCAGCGTTGTTCTGTGGGCGACGGTCACCCGGCCACGAAACACCTCCACCCCTCGACCTAAATTGTCGTTGGGCAGCACCAAAAATCTCGCGGGAACCCTCGACAGACCCAAAGGGCTGCAGCTGAGAAACCAGCTGTTGCACCGCGCTGCACATATATTAAAAAAAAACACACAGGTGACATGTTGTTTTGTCGTTTAATATATTAATGGGATTAAAGAAACGTTGTGGTTGTTGCTACGCTCCATTCAATTATCACGGTATGCTGCGTCGCTGTCTCGGGGGCAGCTGTACGCTGATTAATGGGCCCACCTGGTGATCATCACTCAACAATGCGCGTTTCTTTTAACCGTTAATTCAACTTCCGTTTCATTAAACCGCCCATTGTTGCCGTAGAGCCCGATGCGTCTTCTTCGTCGTGCTCGGCCAGCTCCGGGTATACCCGAGATGCTGGCTTCCTTCCAGTCAATATTACACGAAATTAGTTTTCACCCACCGAAACCTAGACGACAACGGTGGGTCGGGATGCGAGGCACGCACCCGCGAGTTCGAATTCGTTCCGGTCTTGTACGAGGCAGGCAATTTAACTCTGCCCAAAGAAGGTGGTCCAGCCATTATAATGCATTTGTCCCACGCAAATTCCACTCCTGTTGAACGCTGTGCAAGAAGACAAGGGGGGAATTTGGCACGGCTTGTTTCTTTTTTGGCACCTGCTTTTGATTGTGGTCTCGCGAATGAAAACTCCGACCGCAAATATTCAAGGTTGGGTGGGGGCAAGGCCAAGAAAGGCAGCAGCTAATTAATTTACAGCCATATGTTTGTACAATATCAGTAGTCATATTCTTTGGTTCTTTCGGTAAAGTCACTTAGAAAGAAAAGAAGAAAATCACCAGGTGCCTGATCACGATCAAAACGTCGTGAGTTTTTTTTATATAATTTTTTATTATTTTCTTTCTACGTGACTTTACCGAAAGAACCAAAGAATATTAATTCCTGCAGTCACGAAAGTTTTAAGTAAAAAAATATCAGTAATTGTTTTAAGAGTATTGGGGGTGGGGGTGGCGGGGGTTACGTACATAATGTATGCGTTCAGCTTGTAAATGACAGGCCCAATGTTCGAGCTTGGTTGTGCGTAATGCTATACTTACCAAAAAAATGTAAAATGTACATGGTTTTGTTTAATCAGTGGCCTAATCACGTTCATCAGCGGGAAAAATGCAGCTGTTCTAGTTTTCTGGACAACATTTCAAACAAACAGCCCTAATGTATTTCTGAAACTGCTACATGTCACGTGCATTGCACGTTTTCCCAAATTACGGCTGAAGTATTTAGGGGTAATGTGACACCGGGTGACTTTTTTTTTAACTATGCTCCCGTTGTAAATCACAGTGCCCTGCGTGGTGCATTACCTACGAAGCATGTTACCAGCACTGTACCCCCTGCCCTTCGTACTGCTGTGTAGGCATTTTTCATGAGACTGTACATGACAACATGGAACATTTGAAAACGCTTTTTTTCCTCTCTTTATATTTTTTCTATACATGTGGTATTTATGCCTTTCTGCAAAAAAAAACTACCCCGCCTCCCCCCCCGATTACGTTCTGTTATAATATTAGAGTTCATATAGGAGGGGGGGGGGGTGGAGCGGTGGCGCAGTGGTTAGCGCACTGCACAGTGAAGAGCTTGACAAACCTGTGTTTCTGATCAGTGGTGAGCGATACGTGAATCAGGTCCTGGCGACCCCAGCAGCCCACTACCCCCACCCGTCACGAATCACAACAGCGACGTTGGGTCAGCCAACCCCACGGTGGATTGACAAAGTGCTGTAAATTATTATTCATATCGTGTAGCAACAGCCCGCAAAGAGAGGTATGACCTCGTCACAGAACACCAACGAATGCGACCGTTGTGAACACTAGAAATTCATTATAGAAATATCTACTATCTGCTATGAAGAAGGGCCACATTTGCCTAAAACTGTAACTATTATAAGATGTATTTTTCCTTATAGGACAAAGTTATTGATTGTGTTGGCTTTTTTCTGCACCACAGGCCAACACAGTATTACAACAAAGCTTTATATTCTAGATTTGAAGCTTTCGTAACTGCAAGTAAAATTACTGTAGCAGTTACACCTGATGACGGAGGCTTGTGTTGCTTCCGAAACGTCGTGATTTAATTTAGTTATTCTCATTTCTTATTAATTTATTTTATTATTATTTTTTAAAAAATACCTAAGTGACTTTACCGAAAAAAACCTAAGAGTAAGCTTTTTATTAATTTAAAAAAATAGATGAATGGATACGTGTTAAGGACAGTGTGCAGGACTATTTTGTGATTGACGGAGTGTTATCTTGCTCACTTCTAAAACGGGGCCTTAATCTTGAGGCTTTTTCGGGTCAGTATGCATTAGAGAATGAACTGCTCACGATGAACAGATTTTGGGTGAACAATTCCACAATGTAACATCTAAAAAAAAATGAAGAAAATATGGGCAAGCGTACACAGTGTTTCTGGGGTTTCCTGTTGCCTGCAACTACCATTTAAATAAAGCATTGCCACACGCTCGCAGTTTGGTACAATTATTTAAATTGCGTATCTGATTCATATCAGCTGCACATTCATTGACTTTGTAGTTGTGTAACTAGCTTCGGTTTCTGCTAACTGTCCATCTGTTCGGTGCTTTTTACCGAGTTAACAAACCACATTTTCACCTGTAGAAATATTTTCCTAGTGCCGGATGTAATTAAGGAAACATAATTCAGAGCTGGTATTTTCATTAAAATTTCCATTAGCGATCACTGGACATGCTTTAATGAAGTTGCAATTCGAGACTGTCTTGTAGTGTAATCATTTAATTACATCTCTTTCTTTTTAAAGGGAACTTTGGACACGGACCTCCAGAATGTATTTTGCTGTAGTTAATTTTAAATTACAGTTTTTATGTTTTTTATTAAATCCCCGTGTTTGAGAAATTAAAAGGTTTTTCTATAAATTATGTATGTGTAATAACCTTCCAGGAGACGGCTTCGGAATCAGTCCTTTTTATTTCCACTCCACCATACACTTTCCTTACTCACTCTCCGTTGCTGGCAGACAACGGAGAGAGAGGACAGACTCCACACAAAGTTCCCTCCGCGCACGTGGCAACCCGAGGCCCCGTCCGCACGTGACCCTGCTTCTGTTATTTTCAGTCTGCTCGCGATCGTTCCCTCTCGCTCGCTCTTAAGACCTTCGTCACGTGGTTCCCCCAGCCAATCATGTATGGACAGCTCTCACCATTCTCGATAGTTCCCTGTCAATCCCGGGACCACGCCCCTCATCCGGCTCCCCATTAGCTGGGGCCCCGAATGGCTAGGCCAATCACTTCCGATGACCTGTCGTGATGACGCATGGGCCATGGTCCCAATCTCAACCCTTATTGGCTACGAGCAGGACCGGCAAGCCAATCCCCACGTGAACCCTCTATGGCTGTTATTACATATGTATCCATACATAGAAATGTTATTGAAGGATGTTAATACATAATATTTAAAGCATAGTACACCCGTTCACAATGTCAAACGTAATGCTTTGCATTATACACCGTGTAACTCTTATAGTGAGAAACAATTTATTTAACGATTTTGTAGGAACAAACTTTTAAAAAATTGCTACGTAACTTAATTTATTGTGCCCTAAAATGTTTTGATAGGGTGTATATGTAACGAATGAATACTTACGTAATTTTGAAATGCTCAATCTGATCATTTTATTCTAACGTTTATTTTCACTTATTTCAGAAGTACGCAATTCTACGTAAAAAACCGAGGCTGCATGCATACGTGTTTTTTTTCTATGAAATAACAGCTTTCATCATTACATTGAACGCATTCTTATTTAATTTGGGTTTCAACTTTGCCGGGCTTTATTGTTCGTGACTATCAAAAGTCACGTGAGATGAAGCTCACAGCAGTCACGACAGCACCCCACGATGACCAGCGCAACGCTGATAGACAAGAGCAGATGCGTTCTTGTGCGCTTGCACGCTTAATGCTCAGAATCGCATTTCATCGATAGTGCCCCTTGTTAAGGCGCTCTTCTTCCACCTCCAACTCAGCTTATATATAAGCTCCTAGCTTGGCAGTGTCTCATTCTTCACCTGAAGACGGCTGCTTGCGTTGTAGCCGAAACGTCGTGAGAATTATTTTATTATGTTTTATTTTTATTATTTTATTACTTCCCTTCTACGTGACTTCACCGTCGTAATGTTGAAACGTTCCAGCATGTGGTTTCAATCGTCCTAATAACCAATTAATTGTTCACCACTAAATCTGAAAACAAACTGCAAAATAAAAATACAAGGCGCGCACACAAAATGCAACATGCGCATTTCGCTCTTTAATCCAACATGATTGGACACTAATTCTAGATTTGAAGCTTTCGTGACTGCAATAATTAATATTCTTAGGTTTTTTCGGTAAAGTCACGTAGGTAAAAAATTAAAATTCATAAAAGTAAAATATTTTTATTTTACTTTTATTAATTTTTAATTTT